GGGGGACCTCGTTCGCCTTGCTCCTGCCGGTGACTTACTCGCCGATCTGTCTGGGAGGGCGGGCCAGTGCTTGGCGTCGGTTTTAGGAGACGGTTTTTCACTGCCTGGAGGACAATTCACCCAGGCGGAGGTCGACGGTGGGGTTGCTTCCGACGGTTGCCTGCGGCGGGGTTGGAATCTCTTTGGGCATTCCGGCGTTCCCATGAGGTGTGGCCCGCCGCATACCACGCAGCGAAGCGTGCATGAATGGTTATCGTTGGGGTTTTCTAGGCCGCAGTTGGCGCACCTGGTGATCTGGTGAGGGCAGACATCCTGTCGATGTCCCTTTTGCCAGCACTTGGTACAGGCTTCGGCCTTGTGTCGATACGGGGTACACCGGTAAGTGGCTGGCCGGTAGCAAACCCAGAAGGGGACTTTTGGTCCATTGAATAAGATTTGTACAGCGTTGGTTTCCTCGAGACGTTTTGCTGCGAGTATAGGCAGGTCAGGGTTGGACTTGATCAGGACCTGGTTGATTTCACCTTGGAATTCCTCCTCAGGGATGTTGAATATAATTCCTGCAGTGGTGTTAGCCGGGGCCGAAACGTGCGCGGCGAATTCGCATTGCTTGCCTTTGACCAATATTGCGTTGACTGAGCAGTTTCCTTGCGCACCCTTCATGCGAGGTGCTGACAAGTAGGTAGTCTTTATAAATACGAGGATTGTGTCCCTTGGGTCAGGTGTAAGCTGTGCAGCCTGAGTGACGCAGTCGGCTAATGCAGTGGGCGAGACGGTGCCGAGGTTTAACCCACCTCTGGGGCGAAGCACGACTTTGACGTGGTCCTCCGGGAGGCGTTCAGCTGGTGGGGCCCGGTGCCTGGGCAGTCCTCGCGTTGGGGCCAGTCCGGTGCTGCTCTTTGTCGCTAAACTTGCGGTTGGAGAAGTAGCTGGCGATAGTGGTGGAGTCGAGCCGGGCTGGCTGGTCGCGTCTAGGACCCGCTGACGCCTTCGGATGACCGTCCAGGACTCAATGTATTGCTCTGGGGGGAGGTTTTCCCCGGCTACAACAACCTCCTTGGCCGATGTCGTTCCTAGGCCCAACCGCTAACCTCGAGAGAGCCGATCTCTCGGCAAACGTGCCGCAGCGGGCCGACGGAGCGAGGCAATGTTTACGCTAGGATCACGTTCAGTTCTCCAGGGTTTACGGAGGTCGGAAAAGACCGTCCTCGTCGGAGGTTCGCAGTCGTCTATTTTCGCGTAATTTTTTTTTTTTTTTTGACATGCGTGTACTATTCAAAATGTTTAAAAAAAAACTTTTTTCTCTTTTCAGGGTCAGAGCCATGTGGGCTATCCAGGACACTCCAAAGAACAGAAAAAAACCTAGTGAACCAGGAAGACATATTGAGAAGTAGATAAACAAATGCTAGCTTGATACACAAGGAACAACAATTATTGGTTTCAAAAAGCTACATAAAGTCTTGCCACTCAGGTTTATTGGTTATGCGCACTGCATACGGCGGGCACCATACCAAGTCATGGCAGTTCAATATTTAACTGCCGCGACTGGTATGGCGTCCAATCGAGCTCTAAATGACACGGCTGGTCCTGTGCTTTCACCAACTTGAGCATGGCTCGCACTGCTGTCGGTCTCGGTGGCAGCTCAGCACACAACAGGGTCCCCACCATGAGGATTACAGTACTTAGATGGGGGACCATAAACACGCGCAAAAATACATTTGATCAGAAACTCAGCAAGCCAGTTTTGCAAGAGTGAGGTCATTCCTAAATTTTTTTTACACTTTACAATAATTTTAACCAATACTGTTCTGTGGCAAGATTTGACCATCCTCTATTAAAGGGGCCCTGCAAGGGCTTTTTTTACTGGTTTTCAATTTGCATCAAACCTGAGCGCACTGAACGTAGTAACTTAATGAAACTTTCCTTTTCTCGAATTTCACTGCATTTTTAAAGTTATAGGCAAATTAAAATTACAAAAACAAGCAAAAAATAACCTCCTTCATGACGTCCTTGGTTGCTTGAGTGGCCGTGAACTAGAGGAGGGGTAGCGAGTTCAGCGAGCGCTCACGGCTGCCGCACTCTGTGTCGACGGCTCGAGAGGGCGCCACTAAAGCATGTTCTGGATAGGCTGTATGAAGCGGGCGGCCAAGGCGGCTCGCATTGCATTTTCTTCGCGATTAAACACTAATTCGGCATGACACTTCATGGGCCACAAACGACAGCAAACACGGGGTAAAGATCAGTTCAGAACCGGAGCCATTTCGAGCTGCCATACCGCCAGAAGACCAAACCGCAAACCAAAGCTGCTCTCCGAAGGCCTCGGGAACGCTCGGAACCTGTCGGATCCTCCAGTCCGTACGACCGCAGCGCCGCTGCGTTCATCCCGTACCTTTCTAGGCTCGCCGCTCGTTAATGCCCGATCCCACACCTTTCTAGTATGCGCCGCCTTTTCCACCGCTTGGTGGCTGGTACGTCGACGGGTCATTTCTTATTTCCGCACTTTCTAAACTGCATTTGCTTCTTTTCTGATCTAAAATAGTGAACAAAAACTACTTTTATAAATATTTGAAACTGTTCGCACCACAAAATTTTGTATTTCGACAAAAAGAAGCTTCTAGCGGCTCTGACCAGTAGTAAGTCCAGGACCTAAGACGTCACATATTGCGCACTTTCGGCACCGCGGGTCGCCCCCGTAAATGGAGGTTTCCGCATCGTCCAGTTAAAATGACACACCGACATTTAGTTACTCTCTCCGTACCCGCTGGCTTGCCCGCACCCCGAGGGACCCGACACTGCAAAAAAGGTAGACGCTTAAATATGATTGCAGGGCCCCTTTAAGCAATGGCTGGTCAAATCTTGCCACCTGTCTAAAGAGAGGAATGAAAAAACTGAGTAAGAGTAAAACAGCGTTTACCTCTTGGTCAGTTTTCACAGCATCCAATAAAGCGTGTCATGCTAACGAAAGGCAACCACCGGGTTTGAGACCGCAGGCTCCCGCGAAACGGACTTTTTTCTAGGGTGCCTCCATTAAGCAATGGCTGGTCAAATCTTGCCACCTGTCTAGAGAGAGGAATGAAAAAACTGAGTAAAACAGCGTTTACCCCTTGGTCAGTTTTCACAGCATCCAATAAAGCGTGTCATGCTAACGAAAGGCAACCACCGGGTTTGAGACTGCAGGCTCCCGCGAAACGGACTTTTTTCTAGGGTGCCTCCATTAAGCAATGGCTGGTCAAATCTTGCCACCTGTCTAGAGAGAGGAATGAAAAAACTGAGTAAAACAGCGTTTACCCCTTGGTCAGTTTTCACAGCATCCAATAAAGCGTGTCATGCTAACGAAAGGCAACCACTGGGTTTGCGACTCCAGGCTCCCGCGAAACGAAGGACTTTTTTCTAGGGTGCCGCCAACTGCTGGCCGCTCCGCTCTCGCCGGCGCCATATTGTGGCTATCTTCCGGGTTGGCGGCACTGAATGCTGTGTCCGCTGAGCGTTTTTGCACAGAAAAATGAGCAGACTTGTTAAAATTACGCACATTGTGCCCAGAGTGTTTGCCCTGGATAATCATACTTTCATTGACGTTCCTTCAGCAAAAGTTAAGCTACAAGCACACAGCTCGTGCGTCCCAAATCTGAAATGCAAAACAATTGCGTTCTCATTCGTCAATGTTTTGTTTTGCGGTATTCAAATTTATCTGAGTGCCTATTTTAATTTTATGAAATATTTTAGATGCTTCATTCAAGTGGTAACAGGGCATGTAGTATCTTTGCAGGCACTATGTCAAACATCGTATAAGCTTGCAAAGAACATCAGATTAAATAAAGTGTGTAGACACGAAGAGTTGAATCAGTGCCCATAGCAGTCAAAACAATTTATAAAATAACAAATCTGTAGATAGTGCAGTCCAATGCTCACTAGCACAAAGTGCTTTTTCACACAAAATACTTGAATCTCTACTGGAGATTTGCACCGGCAAGTCTTGCTACCATGAGACTCTTGTTGCTTCCGGAGCGTTTATCCACCGCACATAAATGTGAAGCCGCATCGGCTTCGCATTTAAGTGCAAAGCAGATTTCCTTTTTTGGATGACCCTTTGCACAGTGGAACGCAGCACCACGGCATGCCTTGCTGAACACAGCCCTCAGCGTTTCACTCGGAGCGCATCACACACGGCTGCTGCTGTTAATACGGAAAAAAGCCACAATATGGCGCCGCCGCAACGCGAGCCTGGTCAAAAGGTGTCTCCACCCTGTCAGCGGAAGCGGTCGGCATATGGAAGCACCCTACTTTTTTCACATCAACACCAAGCGGCAAAAGCTCAAACTACGGCTGGTGTCCGGAATTGGAATTGCGCTGGCTCTTCCACCTCCTCTGCCATGGAAGGGGAGGTAGTACAACTTCGCTTTCGTACGCCAACTGAGCTTTCGCCTCCGTGCGAGAAGGGCCTGACCTTGAATAGCAACAGACCTTTCACTAATCACCCAATCTTCTAAGAGAATGTTGGGAACGTAGGTATGCACGCCTGCACGCCTGTACGTGCTCACCGTCCCTATAGAACATTATTTGAAGTAAATAGCCAAAAAAAAGCCGAACAGTTAAAGCTGAAGGCGCCAGCACGCATACCTACGTTCCCAACATACTTTTCTATGCTTGGGTAATTCGGCAAAAGGCCTATTGGGTAGACTCCAAACTTTGCTCCCCAGCTAACAATCTGAATGTAGAAAGACTAGAATAATCCCTGGAGAAAGGGAACAAGGAGGACAAAGGATAAACACACATCTCCAAACACTAATTGCATTATAATCTGAATGCACTTAAAGCACAAAACATCATTATCGGGTATTATCAAACAATTTCAGTGCGCCACCCAAAATTCATCAGTCTTGAAATTCTATCCTTCATATTCAAGGGCCGAAAACTTTTTAAGGGCCCTATGAGCCTTGTGCAAGCAAGCCACCCCGACAACTTCCCCTTCAGAGGCATAAACCAAGTAACACAACCCTCAAGAGTTTCTTTTGTACGTAAAGACAAACAGCTTTATTGGACAAGTTAAATAACATACACAAGGAAACTGGTTCACAAACAAGACTGAAAGCTACATACTGAAATAAGACACACAGGCTGGCCAGGTGTCGAAAAAACACCCGGGAACAAGTTTTTTTTTTCTTCCTTCACTCTCCGCTTTTCTTTTGCACTTTTCCCCACACTTCGAAACCATTTTTTTCTTTCAACGTGTTTGTGTTCTGTAGGTTGCATTTCCCCCCCCCCTGCACAGCTCATCAAATCCGAGTAATTGTTTTTTATATTTTTTTTGCCCAATAGAACTAAAAGCAAAACTAAAAATGCAAACAAAACCATTAGTAAAAAAACAAAAACTCAAGGAAGAGGGGAGGGGACCAGACATTTGGTGGTTTCCCTTTGCCTATTTTGTACCCTGCGAGGGAAAAAAAAAATAAAATCAAGAAGGAGCTTCAGGGGAGAGAGAGAGAATCTGAGACAGAGAGGCCAAGCAAAACCTTGACAACTACCGCCGACGCTGCCGCAGCCGATTTGCGAAAAACGGAGCTCGTCGAGAAGCCTCGACTACGGAGAAGCGCCCAAGCCGTTTTCTCCCCAAAGAGCGCTCCGTCGTGAAGTGTCCGAGCGACTGGCCGTTGGCGACGCGCGGCCAGAGCGAGGAAACAAGTCGCGTGCACGAGCAAAACCAAGTTGACTGCATACTCGGCACTGGTGGATGAGGGTGGGTGGCGACCAGTCATACAAAAGAGGGAAAGGGTCGTCGGCCGCAAAGTGCAAGGCGGGCACAGGAAGGGATGGGACGACGCTCGTGCGAGCGTCTGTGTCCTTGGTAATGCGCATACACATATGAAGATACATATTTCGTATATATATATGTATATATATATAAAGTTTCGGGCAATTTGTTCGCTCTGTCCGCTTTTTTTTCTCTTTTCCGCGACGAGGCGGGAAACAGATCGCCCATTTGCAAATCGAAAAAGGAGTCCGAGGGAAGGGCAGTCCCTACCACACGCAAGAGACGAACGAATTGCGCTCGCCTCTAGTTAACAGTCTTTTAGAGCGGCGTGCTCGCTGCACTAGCCACACTATTTTCTTTCCGTCATATAAAAAGATACGAGGTACCTAACAAAAAAAGGGGGAGGAGAAGAGTGATAGGGGGGAACGTAGGAAAGAAACGACAAACCGGAAGAGGGCCCGGAGGGCCCAGGAGAAAAGGGGGGGGGGGGGGGGGCGTACCAAAGTGCACAAGACGCTCGTCCCGAGGGGGAGGGGACCTGCCGCGCGGGGGAAGGGCGGTGCACCCTCTCCCTAAAACCGTTCCCCCTCCCCTCTTTTTGTAGCCTACACAAACCCAGCTTTTTGTTTCCCCCTCCTCGTCATCACCTTAGAAGTATGGCAGTTGTCACACTCGGGGCAGTGAGGCATCCTCGCACCAAACATCGCAAAGTTCCCGTTCCAACCACGCGAGAGAAAACCCTCGACACTGCCCGAGCGATCGACGTCCTATGTCTGCATGTGTGGGTATGTGTGTACATCTGTGTGTGTGTATATATATATGTACCAGCGACAAACCGTGACAGTGTCTCTGCATGTATACATATTCATAACAATATGTATATTTTTTTTTTTTACCCTCTTCGAAATTTTACAGAGAAGACTGCCGCCGCCGCTGCTTATGCCTGGAAAAGTGACTTGTTTTGTTCTCCCCGCCTTTGTAGCGACACTCCCGTAAAAAAGAAAAAGGAGAACATGGCAGCAGAGAGATACAATTAAAAAGGACAAAAAAAACAAGAAGCCCTCACGCAGCATTCTCGCAGCTCTTCCCCGGGACTCGAGGCAACAGCGGGGCAGGCAGGCCAACGGGAGGTCCGCGACCGAGCCGATGCATGTGCGCCAAAGCTCTTCTGCGCGGGCGGGCGGCGTGCCGGACCCACCCTTCTGCCGCGGGGGCGGACAGAAAGGGTAAGAGGGGGCAGTGAAGAGGTCGCCCAGACTGGGGCTCTTGTCCGGGCGACCACGCCACCTAGATCCCCCACGCAAACGTCCCGGCAACTGCCCGTCGCGTGAGCAGTCACGGACCTCCCTCCTGCTCGGAGAAGAGCCGAAGAAAAGGGGCGGCGGAAAAAAAAAATAAAATAAATAAAGCTACGAGGAAGAGTCTCTCCCTCTGTTTGGAAACGGGTAGATGCATGCACACACACGCACACGACGATCTCGCAGCAGACGCGTTCCCCGCCCCCCCTTCCCTCCCCTTCAGTTTTGGTCATCCTCGTGATAAGCCAAAGAGCAGGTCCGTCGGCTCTCCATGGGCGCCAGCATCCAGTTCCGGCGTTCCCGGGGTCTTGACGCGCGTCAGACTTCCCGGCGAATGCGACTTTCGCTTCATTGCAAACAAAAATGCCTCAAAATCCTAGAAAAAAAAAGGGAGGGGGGGGACGGAAAAAAAAAAAAGGAACAACCAAACCACGACCGCACACATCAGATGCACTGGCACTCACGTTTGTGGCAAAACGGACACCGCACAGAAACCAGTTCCTTCCGCCGGGCAAAAACGTGGGCAGAGGTCGGGAGGTGGAGATGCTGCAGGAGGTGGCTGGGTGAGGGGGGGGAGGGTGAGAGGAGGGGGAAGGGGGCGGCAGAAAGCGTTAGCAAAGAAAGGCGTGCACGGCACCCTGGCCCGTGAGAGTTTCATCGGCGGAAGCTATGACCTAAGCCAAACAAACCAAAGCCAAGCCGGTAGAACACACTCGCACTCTCGGCCATACGGCACTTTCGACCCGAAGAATGTGGCGAAGAAAAAGGTGGATCCGCACTGTCACTAAAGGATGGAGAGAGTAAAGGGCCGAAGAAAAGCCACCAACTCGGGCAACCTGCGCATCTGTGCGGTTCCTCAACCCGAGCCTAACGTGACCAGAGTGGTCGCATCCGGCACTAGGCGCAGAAAGGGGGACGAGAAATAAAAACCTTCGGCACGCGCCCGTATTTGCCCATTTTGCGGAAACTCGGCGACTGAGCGCAAAATTGAAACAATAACCAGATCCTAGCCCTTGTGCAGAAACGAAAAAACGGAACACACATGCCGTCAAAATTAACATTTACAAGGCTATGTACAAAAGAAACAAAAAATACAAATTGCCCCAAAAATTTGTAAGAGCCAGGGCGCCGCCAAGAGAGACAAAAAAGAAAAAAAGAAGCTTTTGAGAACGAAAGAAACAAAGCCCTTTGGGGCAGCCCAGACGTTCCGCAAAGAAACAAAAAACGTAATCCTAGTATTTTATTTCCAACTCCTCCTCAAGAAAGGACACAAATAGTACAGGCAGTAAGAGCGGAACAGGCCGGCAAACTGGCTGTGCCTTTTTGGAAAATATGCTCGCAGTTTGGCAAACTACGGCCAGATATATATAATATATATATATATAAAAAAAAAAAGCAGTACCCTTTGTCCCTGTTCGTCTCGTCGGAAACAATGTGCGCGGCCAACCTCCGAGAGCCGACGGGTCGAAGAGGTGTGGCAGCCGGGACAAAAAAAAAAGAAAGAAAGAGGGGGACAACGGGAGAACGCCTTTTCCTCACACGTACGCTCGTTCACTCATGCACACACGCACGCACGCACCTGTGACTAGAGAATTTAAAAGCTGGTGTGCCCAGCAGAAAAGACACAGACAGACAGTCTCCGTTTTCTCTTTCTCCAACAACAAGAAAAAGAAATTGGAGCGCGGGGTGGGGGGGCGGTCGGGCCGGGGACTAAACTTCGATGGATTCTCGACTCTGAGCCTGGCCCGCCGCTTCTCGCATGCGTGACGCTCAAGCACACAACCTTTCGCCCTGCGACACACACGCCGACGCACGCCCCGAAGGGCCGCCCCGGAACGCCAAGCTCAAGGCGCAATCCCCCGGAAAGGAAAAACCGGCCTCTAAGTGGAAGCAATGCTCATCCTCGAGAGCCATCCCGACGACAGAGGGGGATGCAGAAAAATTAACCGAAGAGTGCGACGAAGAGGGCAGCAAAGAGAGGAATAAGACAGAAGGAAGAGTTTGTGGGCAAGGGGAAAAAGAGAGAGCTTGGTCCAGTGCAACACGAAGAAGCGCCGCGCCACTTCCGAGAAGGAGCCCCCCCTCCCCTCCCCTTGGTTCCTGTGATTTTTTTTTGTCTTCCCTTTCCTCTTTACGGCCGGGTGTGGGAGGGAGGGGGGGAGGGAGATGAGGGGCGGGGAGTGCAGTGGAGGAGGCAGCGGGGAGGGGGAGGAAGGAGGGAAAGGAGGTATTTCCCTCTTCCTTCTCTCCTCCCTTCTCTTGCAGTTGTTGCTGTCTTTGCCCTAGTTCCATATCTTGAGAAAACTGTCCCAAGAGCCCGTGGCCACGGCCATGCCGTCTTCGGTGACACCCAGGCAGCTCACGCGGTTGTCGTGGCCCGCCAAGACGCCTGCGCAGAGAGGACAATCGGACTCGCACCGCAACGTCTGCAGCAACTCCAACTGCCCGAGAGATGGCGCGCACCAGTACAACACTGCCCCGAAGACTCAAAAGGCCCGAGTGTTCTGCGAGAAAGCGCCAACCCGTCCGAGTGGCAGGTGCTTTGACAGAGTATGTCGCAAACCTTCCGAAGGTTGAATATGACTAGGTTTGCTATCTAACTTCTAACGCAAAGTTGGACAAAAGCTAGTGACATTCCTATTTCCGACAAATGAATGACTCCGCTTGTCGAATTTCTTGGCTTCGCATCCTGTGCTGCCCAGTTGCAATCCTTTAGATTAGAATCAAAGCCAACGTTTTATATCTGTTTTCGAGCAACAGCAGAAGAGCAGGTCATTATAGGCAACCATGACTGAAACAGAACTGCAACTATCGCACGTGACACCATTGCAACTGTAGCACATGCCTTTCTCCACTAGCCTGCCTGGCAATATTAACCACTGCAAATAAACCTTTTTCTTTCTAGAGTGCAGTTTTTAGGCGCCTGTTTCTCGCTTGAGCGGCAGCGCCGTCGGCATAACTGCTCGCTGCATTATGGAACGTTCCCATAATGACGTCTCATACAATGTCACGGGGGTCACGAGAGAGGAGAAGGAGGAGGCAAGTTTATCTGCTATATTTAGCGGAAAAATTTCCCCGCTCAATTAAGCGGAAAAATTCCAATTTAGCGGAAAATGTAGCTAAATCTTTCCGCTAAATGGGAGGAGAGCAGGAGAGGAGGGGACGGGAGGAGGGGCATACCCTTCCCTCCTCCTCCTCAAGAGCTGTGCTCTAATTCTGCATTACAGGAAGTTGCAAACGTTTTTCATTTTTTACTTCCTTTCACAGCCTTGGTACTTTTGAAACGCTTAGGGCGGTTCCACTAAATGCCTTTTCCCTTACCGCAAGCCACGTTCCGCCATGTTAATGAACAGCATCCGCCACTTTTGCCATTTGTTTACATGGAGATGCTTAGCTATGCGTCGGTTTTGGCGTTGATGAATGCTGAAGCACATCAAGCGGCTCCGTTGATGGCAGAACTCGGTAAGTATGATCGGCCACTTGCGGTATCCTTTCCCGTGACGCACGAGTTTGTAGCGTGTTTATTGCATCGTGAAACGTGAATTTGCCAAGTCCGCAATCTGCGGTATCAGTTCCCGCGTCACATGGTTTGTAGCGGGTGCCCCCGTGCTTATCAATTTTTGATAAAGTTTTGCTGTGGCACCTTCAAAGATAGCCCCACCCCATGTTTTTCATCATTTATCTTTTCATTTTGGGTGGGCATCCTTACGGGATCTTAGGGTATATTTTAAGTGTCCTTCTTTCATTGTGGGCTTGAAATAATTTTGACAATACTATTAGCAACCACCTTCCGTAGATTTCGTCTTGCAAAATATAGAAAAACCTCCAGTCTAGTATACCCCGATCAGAATTGTTTTGGGGCTACCCAACGTACGGTGCCAATGCGTTTTCTTGTCGTAGGCGGTCAAAAGACCAAATCGGACGTTCGCGTCTAAATAGCGCAAGGTCGGTCCGACATCGAGGTATGACGACGCTGGTTTACGGCGTATATAGAAGTTTAGCCACCGCTAACCTAGAGTCTTTGGGGTGCATCACCTGGTAGCAATGCACAAACACACACTGATTAAACGTTTGTTTAGAATGAATCGGGCAGAGGTGGGGATTGAACCCGAGATCCACGGGTCTTGCGGCGCGCGCTTTTGCTTCACGTCCTCAGAGCCCAGTGTGCCAAACCGCTCAATTGCCGATTGCCCGCGCGAGCGGTCGATCGCCCTCCAAAAGCACGAACAGGTCTGGGGTCCGGAGGGTCTCACCGGCGCGCTCGGCCTTCATGGAGTCCCAGACGTTGCAGTTGAAGTCGTCGTAGCCGGCCAGCAGCAGGCGCCCCGACTTGGAGAAGGCCACCGAGGTGATGCCGCAGATGATGTTGTCGTGCGAGTACATGGCCAGCTCCTGGTCCGCCCGCATGTCAAACAGGCGGCACGTCGCGTCGTCCGACCCCGTCGCAAACGCATACCCGTTGGGGAAGAACTGCAACAGGAGGGAGGGGCTCCTCAGACGCGCGGCGTGGCTCCCCGGGGAGTCAACGACTTCCCACGCTCCCCTTCACCTTGCGACGAACCGCAGCGGAAGCTACGAGGCATTCCTACCAATCCGGCGCCGCAAATGAATTACGCGACCACCGTACTATCCCGAGACACGCCTAACCCCCCATTTTTGGCGCAATTTGATATTTTCAAGAACAAGGCAAGATAGCCCCCTTTTAGTAATTGCAGGGCACTGTTCAATGCTGACCTCGGCAGGAACGGTGTTACTTAGCCACGACGGCAGATAAGCAAACATTGCTGACAGGGAAGGACAGTCGTCTTTGGTTCGTGGACCCTCTCTGCAGTCGCAAGATTCGTAGGTCACAATATCTAAAACTAGCACTTTTCCCCATTTCTTTTTTTTTCTTTTTTTTTGCACTTTAGAAGTTAGTTTATCCCTTATTTTCGCCCTTTTTTTTTTTTTGCACTTTAGTAGTTCGTTTATCCCTTATTTTTGCCCGATTGGCTTTTAGGCACGTCTTTGCACGTATTGGAACTGGCCTCGCAGCGTCCTCCGCCGTCCGTCACAAGGTCGAGCGAAGTATAAATAATGAGGCCATAGTGCAGAGTTCTTTTACCGCACCTACAAGATGCCAGCACGGGCGCACAACGGACCGTTCAGCTGGGAGCCGCATTCGATTGGCGAGAAGGCAAGTCCCAAACTTGTCCGGTTTTTGCCCCACACTGGCCGCCGCCGAACGACGTACAAGAACCGGCACTACACCGATGGGACAAGGACGGCGGGGCGTCCAACACCTGGCCTCGGGCACGTGCTGGATGCCTTACACCGTACTTAGCCGGCTCGTGGGTTGCCAAAGCGTTGTCGAAGGTAGAAAGCTCGTGCCAGAGGGGGGACGACTAAACGGCCTCTCCGCCCTTCTAATCTTGTTTTTTTTCGTAGAAACGCTAAAGCACGAGGTCCTCTTGCCTATACCCTGTTGCAGGTTAACAAGAGTGGGAAAAGCTCCTCCCGCAGTTCCTGGGAGGCTTTTCTTAACCTGCATCAGAGTGTAGTGAAGCATCCTTTTCCAATTGGACATGCAGAGTGCGCAGCAAAGAGCGAGTAGCGCTGCAACAAAACTTACCGTCACTGCATTGATGTCCGACTCGTGCCCTGGGAATGTCTGTTTGCACATGCCATCGCGGACGTCCCATAGCTGTGTGGCAGAAAGCAATTTGCAATCAGACGAGGGCCCCCGCAATAAAAAAATAATTCGGCATTCGGGTGAAGAGCTTACACAGTTTACATTCACATTCCAACAAAAACTTTGGGGTTGATGTGCTAGATAGAGGAGAACCCCCAACGGACAATTGAGAATTATTTTGGACAACCCGACCATCTTTGAAAGGGCCCTCTAAAGACATTTTGGCTTCTGACCCATTTATGCCAGTACCTCATCAGTGGTTCAGGCTACTTGGGGAATGAGTAATAGCCAGAAATATTAGAGCATCACATTTTAATTCGATCGAGCAAAAACAGCTCAACGTCCGGTGGCAACACAGTGATAAAAACGCGCGAGCACCGACGTCACCGGTAAGCATTTTGTGATGGCGAGATGCTCTGTAGGCCTACCGAGTTGAATGCGATCCATGGGTTGCCAGCCAAAGCCAGGAGCTCGGTGACGAACCAAAGGTAGAGTTAATTAGAATTACGAACGACCTCATGTATGAGCTAAGTATGATCATGGGCTAGCCACATCCCACCGGAAGCCGTTCCAGTTCGAAATGACAAATGCCAAACAATGACAAATGCAAAACATAGAAGAGGTGTGCGATGAGAACAAAGTCGAAGCCCGGAACGTTTGTTTGGAGTGCGCTATAATTTCGAATGTGTGAACAGCGAAATTTAGAGATCATCCACTCCTCTCGGCAGATGGGGGGCGCTGACGCAACACACACGCAGCTGTGTTGCCGGTTTCTGTAATTTTTGCTTAATATTATGATACAGACGTTTCCCCCATAGCACACAACCGATGACACAGTGGTATTGGGCCACTTTGAGGACTACGAGGGTTTGAGCCTGAATTGTGGGACTTTTTACAAACTCCTATGTATCGGATCATGGTCGGTGCCGAAATGACTGAACTGATGTACAAAAAACATTACCATAGTCCATGGCTATACCCGATACACTAGTTTCCAGAAAAATAAACCAACAAGAGACTAATACATGAATGTGAAGGAAAAGGTTAAAAGCTTGATTAGTGATATGCTGAATCGGGCAGAACAGATGAACTCTGTTCAACCCGAAATCCGGGCAGAGCAGAACAGATGAAGCCGGCCCGCAGGTGCTTTACAAACGCAACATTGTTCTGATGACATGAGCCGGACACATTGCTGCCTAAGTCACGACTGGTAGGTTTTACCTTGCTTTCCCGATAACATGTGTATAATGGGTTGACAACTGAAAACATGAAGTCCACAAAGCACAGAGAAAAAAGTGAACCTTGTCCCTACATTACATCCCTCCCCTCTTAGCAAGATGCAGTCTCGTTCGTTAAGTGGGGCCATTATAAGTGGCCTCGACTATATGAAAAAGAACACAAGCGAAATAGCCTACATTAGTGCTTGTGCTGCTTCTCAATCAACAAATATGGAGGGGGAAGGGGGGTTCCGCGGCACTTTTTCAAGCTCCCTGGGGTTCTGGGGGACCAAAAAGTTTGAGAACCCCTGTTGTAATGCAACAATGTCTACAACAAGTCAAACTCTTTCGAACTTGGCTAAGAGCACGAACCCCGAGGTTTGACAAAAATTTGCGACAGCCCAGTTCCTAGGAATCCGGGTGGAGAACCCGTGCCACACTGGTTTCAACTGCTTGGGGGTTTGGGGCTCCATCGGGCAGCAAGGCCTTCGATCCCTGTCTCCCTACCCAACAATGCTGCTAAGAAGCAAAAAAAAGAGAAAAAGAGTAGGACCCACCTTGGCAGAGGCATCACACGCCCCCGACACGAAGGTTCGGAAGTCGGGGGACAGCGAGAGGGACATGACGTCTCCGGTGTGTCCCGTGAACGATGTGCACTGCTGGCCAGTCTCTATGTCCCACAGAGCACTGCACAAAACGGGGGAGGGGGGTGTCAGATGCCGTCCCACTTGCTCGGAAAACACCACCACCACAACAAATACCATGTTTGCTTGATCCTAATGCGCAGGCATACTTAGCTCCCAGATATTCAAAAAAGTGTACTACTGCCGATTCTACCTCGCAGGTAAAAGAATGAAGTTCAACACATACCTCATAGAACAGATTTAAGAAATGCACGCCAGCACAAAAATAGATACCGTGCACCAGTCGCTGTTGTTAAGAGTCCAACGATGGTTCTTCACTGCCACAGAGATAATCATTGCTTCCGTATGAATCGTTTGAAGTGCTGCACCTCTCGCATTTGTAGAAGTGCGCAACCGTCGCCTCTGCGAGGGTCGTCTTCCAAACACTTTGCGAGCTTATCGGGTCACTGGGATTGCGAGGCAACGCAGTGCTGCTCAATTATCTTTTCCTGCCAGCGTGATGACTTTCAGTTTAAGGGGGGATACGGTCCCGAAATTCCATTTTTTTTCCGAAAAAATGCATTTTCAAAAAATATTATATTTGGTTTCACTATGTTCTGAAGCATAGTTTCAGAAAGTTTTATTTATAAATGCGGAGCATTTATTTCGCAAAAAATTATTTTCGGCAAGCTCGCGGCCGCGCGCGGCGACCCGCCGAGCGAGCAGACGGCGAAGTTCGGCATTTTCAAATTAGGCCTACTCCGCGCTCGTTCCACGCAGCCGAGATATCTTACCCCCGTTAGAAGCGCAGTTTCTTCTAGTTTTTGCCCATAGAAGCTTGCTACGTTTGAGGCTATCTGTGTCCCGGGAGAACCAGGAGAACCCCGTACATACAAGCAGAAAAAACACGGGAACTATGATACCAGCAATCCCATTGGTTGTGACCCGAAACAGGGCTCACGATTGGCCACCTGCGCGCGCTATCGGCAGCTTCTTTCGCTTCTGATCGTATCGCTAGTTCGCCGCTGTTTAGATTCGTTTTCCCTCTTTGTTCCCGGTAGTTTTTCTGCCAAGAAATGCCTGCTTCCAAAGTTAGTACTCGCAGTAGCTTTGGCCGGCGTTCTCAACGGCGGAAACAAAGGGCTGGCGGACGGGGACCCGTCTCCGCCGGCACCATCGTCGCCATCTCCGCCGCTCTCGTCACGATCTTCAAGCTCAACTGGTGCTTGGCGGACAACGGAGCCTACAGCTTCATCTCCGAATCTGATGTGCTGACCACGTTCGAGAGGAAGCTCAGCCTGCACGATTTCAACGCGGGGATTACGGACGACCTGCAGCTGAAAGACGCTCCCGTTGAAAAGCCCCTGAACGGCTCCTCAATGTGTTCGCCATGCAGACTCTTGTTGCGATTTTACTCTGCCTCAAGTGCCACGGAAAACTACTGAGCTTGCGAGAAGAAATTGGCACCAATCTTCAGTTTGTTGTTAGCTGTTCGACTTGCGGAGACATCGTCGCGACACCGCACTCACTATCAATTGGCAAGTTTCGAGAGAACGAACTCGCGGTACGTCTAGGCGTCGTTGGAAAAGACTGTGGCATCAGTTTCACAAAGCTCACGAATCTCTTCGGGGGCCTCAACGCACTGCCCTCCTCATGCTCATGTAGTTGAAGGTGCCACCAATGACTCGGGTAAATTTCGAGTTTCTGGCATCGTCCGAAAATAAAATAAAAAGTTGAAACTTCAAACGCATTTTTCTCAGTTTCACTTTTTGGCAGGAATTCTTGTTTTAGGAGAGCTATCGTTTGACATTCTGAATACAGAGGGACATCATTCAAGGTTTTCTGGGACTGAAATTCTCTGGGGAACAAGATAGACTACTTCACAGTTCAAAAAATCTACTCCTTCATGAAAAAAAGAAAAAAAAAATGTTTAAATAAAAATTTTACGTTTTTTTTTTTAAATTTTTGGTTGTTCTTATTTTTGCTATAATTGAATATTTTGCAATTTATTTTTTATCTAGGTTGCACTGTGGGTATTGTTCTTCAATTTAAAGCAAAAAGTTTGCCACCAGCTAATTTTATTTTTCTACGATAGACTTCCTAATGAAGTGTCTTTTTTCTGAAGTGCAAGAACCGTAGCATACTGTAAAGTTGACCAATAATGCTAAAACTTTGCAGATTATCCTTCCTCATAGTGCTGAAATAACCCTCAAAATTGTAATCAAATTGGGTGAAGGGTTCAAAAGTTGACCCTCCCAGGCCATATCCCCCCTTAAATAAAGCCTACCGGTGGAATTTCTCGTTTTTCTATTTTTAAAATGGCAAACACGAACCCGTAGATGCGAGAGAATGCGCCTCATACGGACACGAACAACAAATGGCGAATGTAAACAAATGCTCGCAGTGGCGATGGGGCTAGCCACTGTATGCGGAGCATTGCATTTTTCTTTTGCGTTTCAGTTCTTGGTTTCAATTGTATAGCGCACGTAGTTCTGGGCACCGATTTTGGCGAAAAGAAGTGTGCATTAGAATCATGCAAACACGGTAACTGCTCTATTACCAAAGTACCATCTTTTCCGATCTACGAGTTGCATGAGACGCACCGACAAAAGGTTGTGACAAATCGCACCTTATACACCTTATAATATGGTATGTTGCCTTGCATTAAAATACCGGGGCAAGCAGCCACCAACAATTTGAAGACAATCCTGAAAATTTGGAGGACGGCCATTTACCAGGTCCAAGAGCAAAAATACAGAAGAGGCACGATAAGGTGGGCTTCACCGCCTTCTTCCAGTGCGCTCCGACAGGCGGCCAAAGTGGAAAAGCATTTCAGCTATACTCCATTTCACAATAACTTTGCGAACTGTGGGGGCAACGACCCCTGCGACCCAATAAGAGCATCGGAGTAAAGCATCTGACAACATTCCATGGTCGAGGCCACAGAGGCCTCATTACTGTTGGAGCAACAGTGCTGTCCATGACAAAAAGTTGTTCTAAGTTTCTTTTCCTTTTAATGACAATTGGACTTGCACAATCCTCTCTCTACCAACAATATATAAAATGAACGGGAATTCATACTCACAAATTTGCGAGTTTCAATTCTATTTAAGCGCCGTGGACGTTGGCAATCGCAGCCGTGTAATTGACCGCTTCCGCTCAAAACATTGCACTGTGCCCTGGGATTAGCACCCACCATAAATTCACAAGTAAATTGAGTGTATGCTTGTCTCGTAAACTGTTCCAAAAGAGCTCGCTATTCTAGCGGACGGCAATGTTGAGGCAGTGGATATTCATCAGAAGTTGGTTGGTTTCGCAGCAGACGACTCTTGGCCAGCAGACGACAGCTGGTTTCTCCAGGCCTCGCATTTGGTGGAGCAACACACGTTACCGTGACGTTGTGTCACGTGCCTCACTCCGACGCTCTTTTTGGGTCGCAGGGGCTGTAGCCTCCACAGTTCGCCAAGTTATCATGAAAGGGAGCATAGCTAAAGGGATGACTGGGATGGGCACTTGATATGTCCTTAGTTATCCTTCGAAAATGGTGGGTGCATATTGCGACAAGGGGCAAATGTTCAGTAATCTACAGCACTTGCAGCTTGCCTTGGGTTTAATTTCAGGTCTCACTCACACAACCTTAGCACGAAAAAAAAAAAAAAGAAAAGAAGAGGGGTCTAACAGCATAGTTGATTATAGATGGGACCCCAGACAAGGACGTTGCATTGTTTTAGATATGGCAGTCGTTCAATAAGTTCCTTGTCACGTATCATATTCGCAATGTTCTGTATGCAGGCAGAGCGTGACTGTGCCGCGGCATTGCATCGACAAGTGCACACGTTGACGACGACCTAGCAGCCACCGCTGGGGGCCTGGCACCAGGGGAGTATTATCAAGATTTCAGACCCTCTGAATTAATGGCGACGCACGATTGCTGTTGCTCTGAATCGCAGGGGTGTGTCATGGTACTGAAAGTGGTTCTCTTCCATGCAAGCATTTTTAACTTTGAATCATTCCTTTTTCTTGTCTCAAAAATGACAGGTCAATACTGCCACCACTGCTAAATTTTATCACAGCATGTAGTAGGGGCAATATGAACCCGTGCGCTCAATTGCCCGACTCTTTTGCCCGAGAAAGCATTCCTTCATCTGAATCCAGATGGAGAAAGCCTATTTGTAAGTTCTGTTGTCAGAGATTTAAGAAAGAATGAGCAGCACTTGGATGCAGTGTTCAATTACACAATGTCAGAGGACAAGAAACTGCATTCATAAATCTGCTTGTTGCCATGAATTTGAACTGGCTCACTCAGAAAAGTGGAAAAGAAAAACACCCCCTGTCGACAGTGCGGCGTCATCAGCAGCTTCCGCCCCTACAGTAAACTTTGGAGAGAATTTTGTGACCGAAAGCATGTTGAAGGTCTCTGGAAGCAGTTACCTGTGAGGGTGCTCTTTGTCATGAATACTACACTTCAACAAAGTGCTGTCCTTCACAATGTTAAAGGGAGGCTGCCCTCAAGATGGTATTTCAAACTACTACTGTCCACAACTGGCAATGCAGACATTTAAACCCATTTGCCATGAAAGCATATACAGATTGTTTGATTTTAATTGAACCAGATAGATCCTGGAATAGCCGTGAAAGGTACACTATTGCTACCTGTGCAGGAGAGTTATACTATGGCCGGGAAGACATAGTTTAGGAGGCTAATTTTCATGCAAGTCGGATAATTAACGAAAAATGTGACAATTCACTCTTTAATTATTAAAAATAAACATAAGGTTCCAACTATAAACTTGCCAAGCGTCATCTGAAACCACTAAATAAGCCACTTTGAGAAAGATTATAAGTGTTGGGTGAGGGAGGTGAGCAAAAGTTTCCCCTCATGCAGCAGGCAAAACACTGACTGTCCGAAAACGTGGACAAAACGAACATCATCCACGTTTTTCAACTGCCAATGTTGCATAAGTGGAAACTTTAGTGCACCCCCCCCCCTCCAAATCTTTCTAAAAATGACAGATTTAAAGGTTGTAGACGGTGCTCGGCGAGTTTGCACTTGGACAAGTTTGC